TGAAGTTGGCTTCTGAGAACCACACCTGCGTGTTATGGCTGAGCGTCAAGTAACATGAGAGATGGAAGTGAATTGCCTACTCACCCCCGGAAATATGACCCAGAACCACTTGAGTTTCCACTCGTTGACTGTTGCAAGACGAGGGGCACACCCTGAGAGGGCGGAGAATACTAGGCTGATTAGCATCGCCATCACCGGTGCATCTTGCCGCCTCACTAAAGCGGACACAACGCAGCCGAGACCGTATATGCCTAAAAGACTTCGGGTGAGTTTGGCCAGCGCATATGCCGTCAAATGAATCCGGGAATCTTACAATAAAAGTATAATAAACAGTTGAGGAAAAGATGTCCAAAATTGATGATGGGGGTGGTGAGGAGCATATAGAAAGAGGCAAAATGCAAAGCTGAAACAGCCATACGGGGTATAGACGAGATAGTTTTCCCTAGGAAGAAAGCGCTGGGAGAGTGGCCGGATTGCCATTCTCTATTCAACACCAACCCTAGAGCCTTCAGCGGAGTTGCAGATATTAGGGGTGCCAACGGTACTTACTATCCTCTGCGAATAAAATGACGCCCGCAGGCCCAGCCGCGCAACCTGTATAGTATTTAGTGGTAATCATCAGATGCTACAAGTGAGTAAGATATACCAATAGCCAGACAGCATAGCATCCCCTGCTCTGCTAAAAGCCGATAACTAGTGGCGCTAGACAAGCTTTCAAAAGGTGGAAGGAATACCCCCTGAAATAAGTGGCCTTTATACTCAAAGTTTGACAGACCAATCAGGAGACCTGTTATGGCCCCAGTAGTAATCTCTAGTGCCAGACTAGAAACTTGTCGCGATTGTTGCACCAGGCCACGGAGACAAGCCAAGTATGCCTGTTTATGCCAGGAAGCTCTTCTCTGCTGAACACGTTGCATCAAGGCTGGTAAGCCTCCACTATTCGATGATCTACCCTCTGAGTCTCCATAGCGCTCTGTACCGGATTTAGACACGCATGATTCACTTGGTGTACTGTATTGGTAGTTGTCACTGTCCGTCAGAGCGCTGAACCCTGCTTGGTGTATATTAGAAATGGCGTCTATGATTGTGTCTGCCGGGTTCGAGCTCTTATAACATGGCGCTACCCCAAGATTGGTGACAAAGCTGAGGCTTGCGCTGGCCTTTCCGAAAAAAACCTGCTTGCCATCACTCAGAAGCAAGAGTCTATCTAAAAGCGCAAATATCTCGGATCGCGGCTGATGGATTACACAAACTACCACCAGACCTTGTTCCGATAAGCGCTTCAACAAAGTCATAATTGACAGTGCTGCTTGTGCATCTAGCCCTGATGTAGGCTCGTCGAGGACCAAAATTGATGGGGCAGCTGCCAGCTCCAGGGCTATGTTAACACGTTTGCGCTCACCACCAGATATACTTCTACCTGAGGCATCTCCTATTAGGTGATTCCCAACGCTTTGTAGCCCCATAGATGCAATGAGATAGTCGACATATTGCTGGAGATGTCGGTCATTGAATGTGCCCCCAATGCGAATGCGTGCCGAGTATAATATAGCCTCTCTGACAGTAAGATCGGGAAGAATAATATCGTCCTGAGGAACATATGCCACTAAGCTCCGTAATCTGATATCTTCCAAGGTTAGGCCGTAGAATTGGTAGTTCTTGGATGCACTGGAACATACACAATGTGTGAAGAGAGTTGGGAATTGACATAGACCGCGCCATTGGAAGGCCTAACTTTACCGGCGAGTACTTTGATAAGTGTTGCTATCGAGTTGTTAGCCTAGCTACTTAAAGTAACATTCGGTTTGATTCTTATACTCTTGCCAGATCCAGAGGGGCCCATTATTCCAACAAATGCTCCCGAATGTATCGTGCCACTGGCGGGGAACAAGATGTGTCCTTTCAAGCCTGTCTTGTAAACACTGATACTTTCGAAGCTTAATTTGATACCAGCGTCTGAAGCAGTGTTGTTTAACGATAGAACGTGTGGCCTTAGTGGATCCGTATAGGAATTGTCCTGACGTGAATCATGACACCCTCGATTTGCGTTGATACTGTCCCTCCAGCTTCCCAGTACAGAGCCCATTTTTTTCCAGAATTTCAATGGGAAAAACGATGAAAGCCATAGCCATAGAAGGAATGCATCAACGATTGCACAAATCAAGGGGCCAATTGTATAAAACTGCCGAAAGCTCCCAGCAGGGCATACAGATAATGCTGTACATTTTATAGGGTCGACTGTCCCTATAGGGCAAAAGTAACTTTGAGGACACCGAATCTGTTGCTGGCCTCCGTGCGGGCAAAAGAAGCCAGCTTTGCACACCGTGGGCTCAAATGACCCTTGGGACTGTTCGCATACATTGTCTGTCTCCTGAAGGCGCCTTAAATGACAATCTGTGGTCGGAGGGCAGCCTTCTGGAGGCCTATGAGTATTATTTGGACCTGCTCTCCATTCAGTCGCCGGATTGTCTCATGATGCAGCGAACGTACAATAAAATCCGGGGTTACAGTTGAGAGACTGTGTTAACTGGAATCCCGGCTTCCCAGTGAGGCATCCAGTATCAACCTCGCCTGACATGGTGGAACGAGGTGATGAGGGTGGTATTCTCAATAGCGGTTGAGACGAAAGCTGCCGACAACTCTGAAAATGCTTGCAGTTCTGTGGGCGACAGCGTTCGAGTGTTTGAGATCTTCCCCAAGAGTTAAAAACTAGCAGCTAGGCTCGCGTCGTACCCCATGACGCCTTGCTTGCAAGAGGGTTGTAAACCTCCCTATCTTTCCGTCACGCCAAGAAGAATACTGATAACTCACTGGGAAAGTCTATTTTACTATAGCACATTCCAGGAAACAGCTGACCCCCTTGATCCAAGATTTATACTTTTTTTAATCAACGTGACATTTCTTAACATCTCTCAAAGCGAATTCCATGACGTGGTGTGATGATCGTGATCATTGAAATCGCTGTAGTCTTGACAATGGGTAATAGCAGAGACACAAACTATCCGAAGGCATGATGTTGATACTGTTAGAATAGAGTGAGAGTGATCGGTAGTAGGATTAGAAGATTCAAGCAAAAAGGGAATGGTAAACTGACAGATATGATCTTCGAGTAGCTGATTGCTGAAGGCCGAAATAAAGATGGCGAATATCGTAGAAGTGTCCTTGGTTGTGATCATTAACGTCACATGTGGTGAGCCCAAGGAGGGCATTGGGGGACACGAACTAGAATCACCAATATCTTCATGACAAACTGGTATAAGATTGGAGAAGTGCTTTGGAATGTGCAGGGCTCCCGAGAAGGATTGATTCTCATGTGAAAAGCATTCGCGTGCCCATTTTACTTGTTTGAAGACCAGTGGGCTAAATTATCTACCACTCCTTGAATGACGTAACCCCCAAGACCTTGAATAATGATAATTCGACCCCTTGAATGATCTGACTTCCAATCCTATGATTCATGTGAGGTAGTATATAAGAGATCGTAGAAGTATGTGCTTTAGAAGGTCAGCACACTCTCATTCCGTCTCTATCACCTGATTACGCCGCCTCATCCTGATGTTATAGCAGTATCGGTATGGCCTATTTTCAAAATGAAGCCTTCCAAACCTTCCTTCGTGACCTCGGCCACAGGGAGAAGGACTCCCAGGACCTCTCGGGTATACGCATCGAAAACTGTGTTGGTTATGTAAAGGTGCCACTGGGAATTGCAGGTCCATTGCAGGTCCACGGGCCTGATTTCCAGTCTGACCAGGCCTTCGCTCCTCTAGCAACTACCGAGGCAGCCCTGATCGCCAGCTGCTCCCGAGGATGCAAGGCATTCAATCTATGTGGAGGGCTTCAGTTTGATATACTCGGTGATGGGATGTCTCGCGCTCCCGTATTCAGCTTTGATACCCCCAAGGAAGCAATCGCTTTTGCGCGGTCTGTTCCTGATTGGCAACCAGAGTTTGCACAGGCTGCCGAGTCCACGAGCCGCCATCTGCGGCTCCAAAAAATGACTCCACATATCATCGGCTCTTCGGTGCACCTGTACCTCAATTACCAGTGCGGTGACGCTGCTGGTCAGAACATGGTCACTATCGCAACACAGAGAGGTTGTGATAAGCTGCTGGAGAATCTGGTGGGAGGACCGCACAAGGTGAAGCGTACTATGATCGAGGGTCAGCTCGCCGCGGATAAGAAACCAGCCTGGGGCAACGTGAAAGCCCGTCGAGGAGTGGAAGTGATTGCATGGGGTTCCCTCTCAGACGAAATTTGTAAAAGTATCTTGGGCTGCACCTCAATAGCCCTGTACTCGATGTGCAAAACGCTGAAGGAGGGAGGAATCCGCAACGGTCAATTTGGCGACAATATCAACACCGCAAACATCATCGCCGCAATATTTGTTGCAACTGGCCAGGATGCCGGTAGCGTTGCTGAAGCGAGTTGGACACACCTCATTCCTGAATACGACTACGCAACAAAAGACTTAAAGCTTTCATTGTATTGTCCTTCGCTGCCAGTTGGGGTCGTTGGGGGTGGTACAGGCTATGACTCCCAAAAGGAGTGCCTGAAGCTCATGGATTGTCTCGGGTCTGGTAAGAAGTGGCGACTGGCAGGACTGATTGCGTCCTTTGCTCTTGCGTTGGAAATTAGCACAGGCGCCGCAATTGCAAACAACACATTCTCAGAGAGCCATCAGAGACTGGCGCGAAGTGTAAAGCCCCCGCCCCGAGCAAAGCTCTGAAGGTTGGAAATCAGTCATCATCAATTGAGCTTTTCATATGATTCTCTGTCTGTCGATTAAAATAAGTTTATCTTGTTTGACTTGTTCTCCAGAATCTCTACTAGGCTCGGTGAACATACAATATGGTCAAGAGGTGCCGAGGGCTCGTAGTAGCCGTCTTTTTGCGTCGGCAGCCTTACATCATACTACCCATGGCTATCTCGTTTTAAGATAAGACTGACAGCTTAATTAGGGTTTATCACCATCTAGAGATTCTCCCGAGCAGACTGACTGTTCAGTTCCTGAAGCCATACACAAGCCTTGCACCTTTGTACCGCCCTTCAATGCTAGCAGCAACAACTCTACGACAGAAGTAGCGGGTAGCCCCAATGGATTCAAATCCCCAGATCTGGACAAACTTAGTCAGTGCGGGTTTTCTATTTCGACGACGAAAGTGAAGGACAGTAGAGACGGCTCACCTGCTCAGCGGTCCAACCGGACTGTAAATTCCGCTCAAATGTGTGTATCCAAATATCCATCCTGTCCTTTCCGTCCCCCCTGCTATTTGGACTAGCCAACAAGAATCCAGGCGATTCACTTCCATCCAGCATAATCTCTCCTCGCAGAAACTGTTTAATCTCTGCCGAGTTTACACTGGTTTGCATCTCGAATTCTGGCCGTATATACCCTCTCGCATCGGTAGTGCCACGGATGAAATGACTTTGGTGTTGTACTGAGCCAAAGATGTAGTCGGCGTGGGCTTGTACTTCCCAATTTAAAGTTCGTTTTTCGGTTGTACCGACTAATCCTCCAGTTGCTGTTTGGATAAAATCAAAATTCGGCAAGGGTTTCTCTCCCAAAGGACTTGGTGCGAGGAACCCCGAAATTTTGAGGTGGATAGTCACGGCGGCAAGTGCTCGGCGCAGCAACCAGGGGACTTTTTGCTGCATCCAACCATAATGCAGTTAGTTCCAGGCTATCTCCGTATAGAAGAGCAAAGTTGTGTCGGATCTCGAAAGGCAGAAGATTGTTGGAGATACCAGCTTCAATATGGGATCCGTGTCTCCTGTTAATTCCTTGTTCTACGAACACCCAGGAGATTAGTAAGGGGGTCTTTACAAAAGAACAAAGCATAAGTACTTACCATAACCCAGTTGCCTTTCAGTAACTCAATGAGATTATCTTCGAGAGTAGCCATAGTGTCAGGTAATCCTTGGGCGCTATAGTTGGTTGAAATTGACATGGAAATACCACACACAGCGGGTAGAAATGGATAATACACAATCTAGTGTGTTAAACATTACTCACATGATCTCGATGGAGAATAATTTGACCAACACAAAGGACGTTGTTGATGTTGATGACGCCCTACCAGAGACGATCGGCAAAAATGATGTAGGTTTGGGGTTGCCGCCGGTGGGCGTATTTGTTTAAAGAAAGGGCCCAGGTATGCATTAACCTAAAATGGAAGGGCTATACTGTTCCAAGTTGGAAGCAGTGCTGCTTTGGCCTCATAGGCTCCAAGAGTCCCTGTATACTTTGATATGCGCATAGTTCAGATTTCTAGCCTGAAGCGGGGGGGAGGGGGGGTGACAGGATTTGGAATCCTATGGAGCAAAAACTGGCTAGATGAGAGTCTTGACATTCTTTTGGCTGAGCGGTGCGGCGCTCCCGTCAAGGGAACAACACCGCCGAGCGCAGACAGGAGTGAGGCAATTCAACTGCCGAGATCACTCGGACTTATCCCTTTGAGCAACCCGATTTACGTCGATATATTCAGACCCGCGCTACTACCCTTCAATAACACAGATAATACTTAGTCACTGCAGAGCAAATATTGTGGTGTGTATATCGAGGACTCCAGAAGCAAGATTCATTCTTCTACATTCTCGAGTCCAAGGGCATGATACCACCACGTGAGCTTCCTTGCCTGCGCCTTGGGTACGTCATACTCTGTGTCATCCCTTACCTTTTCAAGATAGACAGTTCTGCAGGATGCTGATCACTGGTAAAGTCTCTGGATACAGATGGACGAACTACCTTGGAGTGGCAAGGCGCCCATTCCACACACGTGCACCATGGTCCTTTGCTCACTCGATTGCAAGTATAATTTTCAACAATATATCCTCAATGTAATACAATCAGACTTTCAAAATCTTCACCGACTCAAAATACGCCTTGGTGAATATCTTCGCTATACCCATCGAAATGAGTACCCTTATATGCAACATTATGCCGGCTGGGCTTACAGTGGCCGAATACGTCTTATCTTCCTGTATCCTCACTTTCACCAATCGAGGTTCTATCCAGCGGATGAGTGCGCTGCTTTCTCTTGCACTACTATCATGCACTGAACTAGCCCTCCAGGGCTACGTGCAAGCACATCCATTCGTCCGAGTGGTTGCTACCTTTTTTTCGTTCATCAAAATCGTTCACTTTATAAATTTATTTGGTATACTGAAATTAGACAGGACCGACACACTATCTCTCACATGCAAGCTGGAGCCAACCGCCAGCTCAAGATTCCGCAGTGCTTTGCATCTTGTGATGAGTACGCGAGGAGTTGGGACGAAGTGGCAGATAAAAGGCCTACCCACATGGCCGCCTACCCTGGAAGCTCCGGGGAAGGCAGATTTCCGGGCTCGCTTTCTCGCCAGACAGGCAGTTGTAGTTGCATGGCAATACATGGCGTGGGATATAGTCTACAATGGTGTCCTACTTGAGTGCGCCAGAACACAGTCCCACTTATACAGGCCCGAGTCGGACTATCTGGGTTTCAACACAACGGCCGGGCAGGTGCGCACTCGGATCATAGTGGCTGGTGTATTTGTTTGCGGTGTACTGTTCGTGGTAGACATGCTCTACAGACTCGCCTCGATCACTGCGGTGTCGTTGAACCTAACACGGTGGGATGATTGGCCACCACTCTTTGGTGACATCAAAGATGCATACACCGTGACGCGTTTCTGGGGGTAAGTTTTCCTCTATGTGCGTGGTTTTCCTCAGTACTCAATTCTCACTGACAGACCTCTGTTACAGAAGGTTTTGGCATCAGCTGATTCGGTGGCCTATGGTGTCCTCTGTGAAATGGGTGCGTAATGACGTTCTGCACATCCCCAAGCTATCCTCCGGGGATCGTTTTATCGATGCCGTAATATTGTTCAATGTTTCCGGAATCCTCCATTACGTCAGTGTGGCTGGCAGCGGAATGGATGAACCGCAATGGGGTACTGTCCACTTCTTCATGGTACAACCTTTCGCCATGCTGCTGGAGAATAGCTTGTCGTCCTGGGTGCGTCCTCGCTGCTGGCAACGAGTTATTGGATATGCCTGGGTCTGGCTGTGGTTGAATATCACCGCGCCCTGGTTTGGCTTCCCCTCCATGAGACTGCCTGTGGAGAAAAGCCTCTTCATGCCGTATAGCTTTGTGGAAGACGTGGGTCTGGCGAGAATGACGATATTTGCAGCTTTGTTGGGGTTGGCTATCAGCGTCTAGCATGATGAACCCTGATGTTCGCTGCATAGTACCGAATACAGAAGACTATTACAGCCACTCGGCAAATAGAGCTGCTCCTACCAACCACCTAAAAGAAAAGTAACTTCCAACCCTACAATCTCAAATAGTACAGTATAATACCTACCCAGGCTAGAAATACTAAATCTTTCCTGTCTATAACCGTCTTTTTGATACTTTTTCTCACGTAATTCAAGGCCCCTTTATATTAGGATTCTTAGAATCTTATAGGCTGAAAATATTATCATTACAATTCTCTATAAGAGACCACCTTTTATTATCTCTTAATATTAGGTATTTGGCGTTCATATGTATAATAAAATCATCTACTGATTAATCTGCCAGCAGAGCTTTTATTTGCTAAGGAGCCACAACGCTCTTCCGTAGCCGGTTATATCGTCAAATAGGCGGGAGGTGACTCCGAAAATAGAGTCGCAATTCGAAAAGTAGAGGCGTTTCGACTATCGATTGACAAGTTGATTGGGAAAGAGGTCCCACTACTAACAGAAATGTGCACCTTGGGCGGGCGAGAAGAAGAGCAGCTTGCTTGGTGCTGGGTGCAGCAGTAGTCTGGATATCCTTCTATCACTATAAGCTTCGAAAGAAGGCAATTAAATAATAAATTGGAAGGATCACCTGGTCGAGGGGATTGTGTTTCAGGTCCATGCTGGGATGGATGGGTTGACATTCGCTAAGGAGTGATAGACGTGAGTGGCGTCGAGAGACGACAAGCGAGGCAGCATTAGCAGGGCCTTGAAGCTGCCGTGCATGCCATCTGGCAACTCTTGAATGTTTGCTCATGCTGTTTTGGTTACAAAGGCTGCATTGAGAACTTAACGACCAGCCACGCTTGAAATCACCTACTGAAGAGAGGTATGTTGTGACTGCCTCAGCACATGCATACTTGGCACGCCTGGCCATGAGCATGCCAACTCGGGCTTATAGGCTCTCCAGGATTGATCTTCAATTCCCCGTGGACCGTATCGAGATTGGCAATCAAATCTCCCAGGCCCGTTAGAAACTGAACTGGAGCCAAGACGTGACCATGTATAAGGCAAGCCACGCCCCCCTCTCGCTCCTTTCTTTCTCTCTTTCCCTCTCTTCACCTCTACTCCCAGTTTTGGACGGAAATAATTTGAGTTTGGGTTCAAAATGATCTTACCGAAGAAGGCAACGTCAAGCTGTGTTCCGCGTCCCCAAGATCTGTCAATTGGCCCGATGAACGCAGCAACATGCTAGCTGGCCCGTCTTGACGCGGAGTTGCGCTGCCGATTTCAATCTGAGCTGAAGCGTGCTGCCGGCAGAGGGTGAGTAATGTTCTTCTAACTGAGTAAGGGATAGGATGTCAATTCTCTTCTGTGCCTGCACAAGGGAAACGTGTATATATTCGGGGTCGGGGAAAGGGCAAGCAAAGCAAGACCCTCCGTCTGATTTGCTGATAACACAGGAACTCATTCTTTTTCTGAGATTTCTTTTATCCTCTTCTCTTGTTCTCATCTCCTTAATCTACTCTCCTGCTACCTGCACTCCTCCCCATGTTACCTCCGACCAAAAGGCTACCGCACGAAAACGCCATTCCGGCCGTTTGGATGCGGTCCGGAACGTCCAAGGGATTATTCCTGCATCGCGAGCATCTTCCCGTGGATGAGACGAAGTGGGAACCCATTCTTCTAGCTCTCATGGGGTCGAAGGGGACTCACTCTGGGGAGAATGCGCCACAGACCGACGGCCTCGGCGGGGGAACGTCCACGACGTCCAAAGTGGCCATAGTGGGGCGGTCCCCTCGACCGGGCATTGACCTGGAGTACAGCTTCGTTCAGGTGGATTTCAAGCCCGGTCGCACTGACCGTTCGGGGACGTGTGGAAATATGGTGGCCGGCGTGGGGCCGTTTGCGTGGGATCAGCATCTGCTCGATCGCTCGTCGGGGTGGTCATCTTCCTCATCCTCAACAGCAGTAGTAGTAGATGGAGACGGTGAAGAGGTTTCTGCCATGGTAGGTCGTGACACCCAAGAGAGACGACTGTTGCTTATATTGATCTATCTTATTTGCCAGATTGATATCCATGTTCTTGATACAAACACCAGCCAAGTCTTTCGTCTCACTATGCCCAATCCATACTACGACCGCCATACATACCCGGACTCACTCTCCATGTTTGCCGCAACGTGGGAAGCGATCAAGGTGACCATGGTGCAGCCCGGGGGTCAAATGACGGGGGCTCTGTTCCCCAGGAAGGAAAGCAGCAGCATCAGCAGCAGCACCGAAGAGGAACGTACCACCCTGCTGGAGATTCCCTGTGGCTGGACGGGCCAGCTCCTCCGCGTGCGCGCCACACTGATCGACTGTGGCAATCCGTTTGTGCTGGTGGCAGCAGCTGACATGCCCGCGCAATACCACCAGGAGCAGCAAGATGCGCTTTTCAGCGACGCGGCTCGCCTGACGGTGGAAACACTTCGTCGGGCTGCCTCTCTACGCCTCGGACTGGCCACCAGCTGGGACGCGGCGGCCCGCCAGAGGACAGTTCCCAAGATCGCCGTGGTCACACCAGCTACCGCTACAGGCGCCTCCGTAGATGCGACAGTCACGGCTTATAGTCTGGGCGACTTGCATCCGACGGTTCAGCTCACCGGTGCAGTCGCACTGGCGGCCGCCCTTAGTATTCCGGGGACTGTGCTTGCTGCTGCTGCTGCTTCAACAATCAAGGTGGACAATGGGAGCCATATCTCATCCTACACGCCTCCCACTTCCCGAACCTGGCAAATTGCCCACCCTCGGGGCACGGTGAAGGTCGAGACTGTCTCATTGCGGCTGGCGGATGGGTCCTACTGCATTGAGAGTGCATCGGTGATGAGGACGGCGCGGAAACTGTTTGAGGGACAGGCTTTCTACTGTTTGAAATAGACCACTTCATGATAGCTGGGGAATCCGAAGCGGGGTGAAAATTAACCTCGACCCAGAAAGAAAGATATGATTTGCAGCTGCTTAAACAAATGATACTCACAGACTAGGGTTTTGGGAATGTCCATGGCTGAACCTTACGTAAACTCTGGTAACGTTAACGTTAATTCTAGTTGATTACACATGCAATACTCCTACGTAACGAGCCTCCAAATGACCGTTCGTGGTATATATACCGGCCTCGAATGCTTCTGTTTGGCCATAGAAATTATCTCTACTATCGTACCAACCATGGAAATCATCTGGCGGGACACTTCTGACACTTCTTCCGCTGCGCTATACGAGGAGGCCTGTTTGGCACGGGTCTTCAACTCTCGCCACCCCGGCCAGTACCCCACGGCTATCGTGCGTGCGAGAACGAAGTCCGACATCATCGAAGCAGTTCAGCTAGCGCGCAAATCGAACCTGCAGGTCACTGTCCGCTCTGGCGGCCACTCGTTCCCGGGTTGGAGTCTTCACGACAGTTCTCTCCTGATCGACCTTGGCGACTACCGTGAAGTCAAGGTTGATTTGGAGAGAAAGCAAGCCTGGATCTCTTCCGGGATGGGAAGTGATATTGATCTGCAGTTCATGAAGGACTGTGGACTGATGTTGGGTGCGGGCCATCACCCCGGTGTTGGGATTGGGGGTTACTTGCTCCAGGGAGGGCTATCCTGGAATTGCAGAGTACGTCTTTCATTCTTCTCCACCCACCACGTAACTAGTGTTTGACGAGGTATAGAACTGGGGTTGGGCTTGTGAGAGGGTCAAGGCTCTTGATGTGGTCACATGGGATGGGACTCTTGTCCGTTGCTCTGCGGATGAGAACAGGGATTTGTTCTGGGCTGCGCGGGGAGCTGGGCCTTGTAAGTGCTTCTCGTTATAGGGTTTAACCTAGCTCAACTCTGATAAGGGTGTAACAGATTTCCCCGGCATCGCCACCCGGTTTCTCGTACAGCTTCTCCCTGCACCAAAGATCATCCGTTCGTCCGGGTACATATTTCCCAAGAATTTGTATACAGACGCTTTTAACTGGATCCTTGATCTCACACCAACTTTGGACAAAGACACGGAAATCGTGGGTGTCTGCCGGTATCCTGACGGTATCGACCAGATCTGCTTTATGGTGTACTTCATCACAATGAAGGACAGTGTGTCTGCAGCAGAGAGCGCCTTGCTGCCAGCACAACAAACCCGCCCAGCGGGCACGTTTCAGGAGTGGTTCTGTGAAGAAGACAGTCTCGAGCAGGAATACGCGAATGAAGTTAGCGCTTACCCGGGAGATCGTCGCTGGGTGGCGGATAATGCCTTCATCGAGAACGAGGCAGATGTGGCTGTTGTGCTGGAGGAGGTCTGTATGTCACTGCCAGACAAGCGGTTTGTTGTGCTTTGGTATCCGTTGGCCCCGCAGAGTCGTCGTCAATTGTCGGACATGGCTTTCAGCCTACAATCGGATCACTACGTCAGCACCTATGCAATTTACGAGAACGAAAAGTGATGATGAGAGATGTTGTTCGTGGATGCAAGAGACAGCACAAAAGCTGGAGCCATATCGTATAGGCTCTTTCTCCGGTGAAACTGACTTTCGAGCTCGTGATGTTAAGTGTTGGGGTGACGAGCAGCTCGAAAGGTTAATTCAAGTACGACTAAGATGGGATCCAGAGGGACGTTTCTGTGGGCCATTGGAGGGAGTCCATGTGTAAGGACATGTTGGCAGCTCTTTATAGTAGTGCTCTGTAGCTGAGGTGAGCGAGTTTCATCAATCGAACAAAATAGCAGTATGAAGTGAAATGCAGTGGAAGATGTTGTATGGCCTTGATACTCGACTCTACCCTGTAGCTTCACACTACTTAGCCCCATGCACGAAACTATACTAAGAAGCATTGACTAATCAAGACTGGTAATTATGTAGGTGCGCTTAGCCTTTAGTGCGAAAGTTCAATGCATACCGAGTATGCGATTCGCAGAAATTAGGGCATGTATTGTAATCAATTTCAATTGTAAGCACATAGACGGCTACATCCATGGATAGCGTTAGTTCATCTTACAATTGAATTACTCAGGCCACTGGATTTATCCTTGTTTTGACTGCCCAAGCACTTAGACACTTCAGAGATTTGTATCGATCACATCAACCCTTCACCTGAGCATCAGTCCAACTGATGATCGGATAAGTCCTCACCGTTCGACACAGCTCAGCTGAATGCTTCTCTAACATCCTTCTCTCTTTGTTTGTATTTCTCATCCTTTTAGGAACGCACTTGTTTCGGATACCACCAAATCAGAGTGACTCGAAAACATTCACTAAGGCATTCGATCGAAGAGTAGAGCAACTCCTGGAGCACTTCAGCATCCCAGGTCTCGCCATTTCCGTTGTGCAAGACGACGAAACTCTTGCGAGGGTGTGTACTTGTCGCCACCTGTAACGCTCAACCTTGACTGAAGAACCATAGGGCTACGGAGTTTCTGACATTGAGACCTCGCAAGCAGTAAACGAACACACGCTTTTCTTCGGCGGAAGCACAACCAAAGCGTTTACCGCCGCTGCTGTTTCGCTGCTGGTGGATGATAACCACCAATACCCCAGCATTCAGTGGACCACTCCCGTTCATTCCATCATCCCGGGCGACTTCGTCATGATCGACGCCTGGTATACGGTCCATGTCACCGTGACAGATATGCTCTCTCATCGCTCTGGTCTACCACGCCACGACTGGCTGCTGCTGACCAATCTGACTCAGCAAGAGATCGTCCAAAAGATACGGTACTTGCCACTGACAGCCGAAATCCGCACCAAGTTCCAGTATAGCAATCTCATGTATATCACCGCCGCTCACATGATCGAGTCGTGTCCGACCAATCGTTGCCGTCGTTCTTAACTGAAAGAATCTGGGCCCCGTTGAACATGTCGGAAACCTATCTTTCGTTGGCCGATGCCCAACGCGCAGGAAGGAACATCTCCCAGGGTTATTACCTCGATACTAACGACCGGCTCCTGTCGACTCAGCGCGTTAGTATGAGGAGCTCGCGGGGTGCGGGGAATATCATCTCTTCAGTTGCAGATTTTGCCAAATGGATTTCGACTCTCCTGCGCAGGGGCCCCCCGTTGTCCGAGGCTACTTACCGTGCTCTCTTCGGTGGCCACAGTATCGCTTCCAAGGAGCCAGAGGCGCCCTTTGTGTCACCAGCGCTATACGGGATGGGCTGGGTGGTACAGACATACCGCGGTGAAACCGTGATCCAGCACGCTGGATCCCAGTATGGGTTCGGGTCTCTTGTGGCCCTACTACCGAAGCGCAAGCTGGGAACTGTGATCATGGGCAACAACATGCGTGGGACCAATGCGGCTGCTGATATCATCGCTTTTGATTTTATAGATGATGTTCTCGATATCCCCGAAGATGAACGCTTCGACTGGAGAAGAAGGTCTGTGACTGACCGGCCATATTATTGTGTAACATGGCTTGACTAACTGATTTTCCTCCATGCTCGTTGCTGATTAGAGCCGATGAACGATTAGCAGCCGACCCACTCACCACTGACACTTTCCGTGAATTACATCCATTTCTTCCAGATCCACCTCTACTCTACCCGCTCAACCTTTCTGCGTATGAGGGGATGTTCATACATGCGGCGTATCCCAACCTGACGTTATCGAGTGATTGCAATGACGCGGCAGGTGGGATTGTCTACGCGAATGGAACAGGTGCTAAGCTCTGTGCATCTCTGGTCAAACCAGGGGATTATTTCCCCAAGCCGCTGTCGCTGGAGATGTACCATGTTAGTGGTAGCTCTTGGGTACTGGTCACTACCATAGCTGGGGCGATGTCTGCGGCGCGAGCTGAATTCAGGCTCGGCGCTGACGGACGCAAAGTGAGCCACATGGGTGCTGAGGTTGAATCCTCCATGGCGCGGACAGGGGAGAAGATTTGGTGGGCGCGTGTTTGATCTCGTTTTCCAGGGCTGAAAATGCTTCCCTATAAGAGAGCTCCCGTTCATGAGTACGAACATGAATCGTGCCCATTAGGTGCGTACACCTCTTCTTCCGATTAACTGCAGTCAAGACCCTTCAGAATTTCCACCTTTCGCAGAACATCTTGACTCTGACAATCTGTTGATTGATATCGAACACAATGGAATGTCCGGATCTGCAGGCTATTTACTCATTTCTCGAGGAGATCAGAACCTCCCTTACAGACTATCGGGCAACCCGCTCAAATCTAGCACGGAATCAGGCTCTCAAGCAAGCAGTAAAATTGACAAGAGCTCTCGAGAACCCTAAAGATGCGATCTTCAAGCTCTTTCTGTCTGTGAGTACAACACCTACAACTTACTGTACTGTACCCCGAAGCCTAAAAGCTCTAGCCCACGCAAGCGATGGCCGTCAAAATCGCGCATGACCTCGGTCTCTTCTCACTTCTGGCAAACTCTGAGACAGCCATCTCTTGCAAGGATCTGGCAGATCGGAGTGGTGCACACCCGCTACTTGTTGGTTCGTCATCCCTGTCTTGTCAATCTCTTGTCATCATCGCTCTGGGCTCGTGACCCTACCCCTCGTTCCAGTCAAGTCTGATGACCGTGTTACAGAACGCATCATGCGAGTTATCGCCGCAATGGACTTTGCCGGAGGGGATGGCCCCGGACACTACCATGCGACCCTACTTTCCAAGGAGATGGCGGGCAAGAAGTCGGGCATTGTCGACACGCTGTACGTCATGATGTCCTCCTCGTCGTATCTGCATTCATCGGACTAACCCTGTCCCACTCAGCTTTCTTGACCTAGCTCCAGCCATCCTCCAAGCACCGGCCTTCCTTCGCGACACGCACTACCAGAACCCGGAGGACCAATCCGCTGGACCGATCCAATACACGTATCACACGCAGATGAACAGTTTTGAATGGCTTGCCAGTCACAAGGCTGCGCATGCACGGTTCCACGCCTATGTGGAGGGTGTGCGCGAGGGCCAGTCGGATTGGGTGGACTGGTTCTCTGTTCAGGCGAGGATCCTGGACGGATACGCCTCCATCCCGAGCGACCCGCTTATTGTGGATGTCGCCGCCGGCAGTGGGCGGGATATGCTGGCATTCAAGAGGAAGTTCCCCGACGTCGCTGGTCGAATCATCATCCAGGACCTTCCTGTTGTGTTCCAGGACGTTCATTGCCAGGATCTAGGGCTGGAGAAGATCGAGCACGATGTGTTCGCGCCGCAGCCAGTGGTTGGTAAGTCGTATGTTGTCCACCCCCTGGATTGTGCGTATCCCTGTTGATGCACGCTGGTAGGAGCGCGGGTGTACTATCTCAGATTCATACTGCATGAGTTCTCGGATGACAACTGCCGAAGGATCCTGGAGAATATCACCCACGTGATGACGAAAGGATACTCGAAGATCTTGATCGAGGAGTTCCTCCTACCGGATGCGCATGCTACCCTGTTCCATTCGATGGTGGATATGATTCTGATGGTCTTTGGGCCTGGAGCTGTGCGCACGCAGACGCGTTGGGTCGCGCTTCTCGAGTCCGTGGGGCTCACCGTCAATCTCGTGGCGCATCCGGACGGGGATGGGCCGTCTATCATCGAGGCTGAATTGGTGAATGTAGAGTCGGAGTGACTGGGCTAGTGGGAATTGGTTGCGTAATCTACTCTGAGCATGTGAAGAGCTATTTTGAATCACGTTTCAGCCATCCTTCGAACTCATTGAATTCCTAGTATCGTACATTAAAAATAGGTTTCGGTGCGGTAAGAATCGCCACTCGAACCTGTCCCAGCTTTGACAACCACACAATGAGAACGTTGCGCAAGAAAAGCGATCTGCTGTAGGGTGACAATATTCGATCCCGTGCCCTAGTATGGCTTAAACTGTCCTATGGACAAATGTCATGGGGCGCAGCATTCGTGCATGGCGGCTCCGGGAGTTCCAGAGAATCTGGAAGCTTGATGGGTTCCGTGTCAATCTCGTGTGCCTTCGAGTACTCTGCGATGGGCTCCAGCTTCCGACACTTGTGCCATACGCTGAAGTCCGGATAGCTGATGGCGCGACCCTTGACCCAGCTCCTCGTCACCACCCCGACATCGCCGTTGCACTGTATCACTTGCCGCAACATGTCGATGCAGTGATCTGAACACAAGTCAGAGTCGGATACGTGACGATCATAAAGACAGAGATGCCATACCAACATGCAACCGCAGCGTCTCATTCGAATCGCGGAACTCTACCGGCTTATTATCTAGCTGAGAGTAGTAGTCGTGATACGTATACTGTCGGACCAGATTGACGCAGTGGAGCTGATTCAAATGTCAGCCTGGGATATCTGAACAGAGCTACATGAGGCCCCTGTTGTAGATGTAAAGGAGAGGGTGGGCGCAACCTGATGCAACACCTCGATCCCGCCCGCATACCCATCGCCCTCGGCCTCAGCCACCTTCACCTGGGTCAGTGGTTTCTTGAGCCGGGCCATGTCTTCTGCTGAAATCCTCAGTTGAGCCACTGGAAGCTATCAGCATGGGAGACGGAGACAACGGAAGTAGAGGGCATATACTGTGAGTAATGTGGCCCCATGCGGCGTCCAGGTGTGGGTTGGGGAATCCTTTGTATGGGTTCGTGTCGAAGAGGCTTCCTTGGAAGCGGACATCGTTATACTCCACGAGGTGTGTAAATGGGGCTATATATCGTTACTATGATTCTTAGTTTTTCTAAATGGGCGATGCACCTACAATATGCTGATAGCTGTTCTGCACATTTACGGTCGGTAGGAGAGGATCGGTGGAGTCTCCAGGCTGAAAGTAGCAGAGAGAAAGAGAGGAGGAAAAGCAGGAGATGCAATGCCCAGAGCCAGTGCACAGTCCGGGCACGAGGATGGTGTGGGTTGAGTATGTCAAAGTGGTCTAAGAGAGGATCACTGTCGTCAATCATCGGGTCTTCTATTGAGTCCTTAGGGTGGAGTGATATGGACTCCATTCTGGCTGAACGTACTCCAGTGATGCAAAAGATGAGTATATCAACTCTGACGATGACATCTCCAAAATTGTCCCCCCCATCCTTGAAATGAAGTGTGGTATTATATGACAGGTATCACGAAGGACTCCTTGTCTTATGACGGTGACCAATCAATTGAATAATCTCGTCTGACTAAGTAGATGACTCTTTCTTCTCCTGTAACTGTCATCGGAATCGCTGGACTTTGGCTATACTTGCAAGTTGCAGCGTACTCTTCTGGATTTCGGATGGATCGGATGGCATAGTTGCTATGCGCAAGTAGCCGTTCATAGTAAATGAAGAAGAAAGTACTCCGTGTCTTAGCAATGCAACCCCGCACGGAAAGCTCGCTGCGGGCCGCGTTGGTGGGCGGGGGAAAATTGCCCCGGGATCCCGATGCTACCCGAATTCTTCTTCTTCATCAGATACTCAAGCTACTGTATCAATCACATACTCATACATAGTACTGTAGTAATACCCTCCCTCCCTCCCTCATGGCTCCTCCTCCCATTCACATCCTTGGACTTGGGAGTATCGGCACTTTCATCGCCCATTCGCTACGCTCCTTGCCTACACGTCCGCCCGTGACCTTGATCTTACATCGACCTGGCTTGTACGATCAGTTCCTAGCCCGTGACGGAAAACTACGCGTCCAGATCGGGGAGTCTGGCCCCTCAGCCGAACAGAATGGATTCGACATTGAACTTCTGGGGAAGAGCCCGAACTCCCCCCACCAGCAATCGACCGACCCCATACAATGCCTGGTCATCACCGTCAAGGCTTCATCGACCATCGCCGCTCTACAATCCATCCAGCACCGGCTCAACCACCAGTCCACCGTCTGTCTCCTCCAGAATGGCCTGGGCCAGATCGAGCAGCTGAACGACCAGCTCTTCCCCAACCCACACACCCGCCCCACCTACATCTCCGGCATCATGCGTCTCGGCGTGTATCTACGATCGCCCTTTGACGCGGTTCTGGCGGGCATGACCGGCTCCGTTACCGTGGGGACCGTCAACGACAACGACAACAACAACAATAATACCAGCACGTCCACCCGCTACCTCCTGGATCGGCTGACCGAGTCGCCCATCCTGCAATGCACCGAATCGCCCTGGTCGGACCTCTTCCAGGCCCAATTGCTCAAGCTGTCCGCCAACTGCGTGATCAACCCGCTGACGGCGGTGCTGGACGTGCGCAATGGCGCTCTCCTGAACAACCTCGAGGTCCTGCCCCTGCAGCGCCAACTCCTCCAGGAGGTCTCGCGGGTCTTCCAGCGGCTGCCCGCCCTGCGCGACCGCCCCGACGCGCAGCAGCAGTTCGCGTTCCCTTCGCTGGAGGCCTCGCTGATCAGTGTCATCCAGCAAACGGCCAGCAACTCGAGCAGCATGCGCGAGGATCTGCGCAAGGGCCGCGCGACCGAGATCGAGTTCATCAACGGGTGGGTGGTGCAACAGGGAGAGGCCTTGGGGGTGGATTGTTCGGCGAACCGTATGCTGCGGCAGCTCATTCGAGCCAAGAGCACTTCGGCCGGGACGGAGGAGTAGCCTCTCTCCGCTGTGGGCGGTGAGGCTTGGCGGGAGTATCGGTGTGTCATATATCACCGGCTCATGGGCGTTTTCGGAGGTTCAGACTGCTCATGGCTGCGATCTACGATGTGCGGTAGACGGAGGGCTGCATCACGAGCTTGCCTTGAAGCTATTCTTAGGAGCGCACCGGGCGGTGAACCCTTGATTTGAGGAAACAAGTAAGCAGAGACCCTACGTGCAGGTGCAGGGGCAGGGGCAGGGGCAGGTGCAGGTGTAGATGTTGTGTGTGCATGTTCATGCGATGAATGAAGTGGTTGTAGGCAGGTCATAACAGTTGTCAGCGGAGGTTGACCGGCAGATGTCGAGAAAATAAAACAGCCGTGAGCACAGCCCATGAAAAAAAAGAATGTCTTGGCAGTGGGTCCAGCAACCCAACCATGAAACGAGAAAAGGGGGGATGAATGATTGGGCAGCCATGATCTCCAGGCAGCACCTGGCACCATCTCTGACCGCCTTCCCGAGGAAGCAAGAGCCGCCCCACTGGCGGGGCAGATTCCGAATCGAGAGTTTCCGAATTGGTCGCCACTCTGAGGAATTTTCCATCGACCGCAAGCAGAGCGCCCTCTCACGTGGCTGGCAGCCTTTCGGAAGTTCCGAACTTGGGCGCGAGGTGGTCGCTTGTCTGCAAGTGCGCAGGAAAACAGAGATAGATGCGCACACACAACACGCAGAGGGTGTTCTCTCCGCTCGACTTGACTCGGGTATACGGCAATGGATTGCGACTGGGATACTACCTATCATCCAGAATAGAATGAGCAAGAAGATTCGTGCTTACGAATGTGATAATAATGAGAGAATACGATTATCCCACGACTAATCAATGCCCGCAGTGCTGACGTCATGGCGGGTTTGTCCCGCTGGGCGGCCAATGGGGGCCAGATCACTGCTGCTTCAAGGCCGGAGGGCCTGAGGCACCCAAACAAGCATCACCGCAACGACTTTATCTGCTTCAATCAGTGAGTGCATCTGCTGCTCAATGGATGAAACAAACGGTCAATTGGAAACTTCACTAATAATACACATACGAGTCCCTCTCATCTATCGGTGTGTGCTTGACGAGGTGTGCTGGTTCTGGGTTCGGCAATGCCAACTACACCCGCAAGCCGTTAAATGTGGGGCGAGGGCAGCTGGACGGATAAGTCGGAATGGTGCACCGCGCCTGATTCATGGATCTGGTCAAGGCAAAAGAAAAAAGGCTGAATTGTCCCTTTTTTTTTTCGGGGTTGGGATTGGGATTAATTGTAATATTATTCCGCCTGGTCCCTGGAGCTTGCTTCTCTTTCTAGACATTCCACTCTTCAATCAAGCTTCTGGTGGTCATTTCATTCCCACCTTCTGGTCTCCTCTCTCCCTCTCTCCTCCATCTCCCGCCCCTTCTGAGTCGAACTATCAAGCATGTCTGCCTTCGACAAAGAGCTCGAGATGGCGGAAGCCGATGCCCGCCCTCATACGAAAGAAGAAGGTCCCCGGAGGTCTTCTGAGAATCCAGACCGGCCGAGTTCCTCCGGCTCGGCTTCGTCCGGCTCGAGCAGCTCCATCGACTATAACCCCCGGATTCACCGGCTCCAGTCCCGAAATACCGAAGTAGACCTCGAGCGCCTCCGCACGGGGACCTCCCATGCGCTGAGTCGCATTGAGACCCAGCGTCTTCAACATGCCCTGACGGTGGGTGAAAGTGTCAAGTCGCGACCATCTCGAGGCCCGTTGCCCGCGTTCGGCGGGGGCAAGCCCTATCCTCCTCCCCTCCCGGCCCGTGAAGACTATGTTGTTGAGTTCGACGGTCCTGCCGACCCTCTATACCCCCAGAATTGGCCCCTGATCCGAAAGTAAGTGTTCTCTCGCATGCATTGCTTCTGATGGCGTATTGTCCAATGCCAGATGGTGGATGGCTAACGCCCGCTCCCCTCCCTCTCTAGAGTATACATTAGTGCCATCCTCGCGTTCACCAGTATCTGTTCTACCTTCGACTCGGCTGTCTTCAGCGGTTCCAGCACCAATGTCGCGAAGCACTTCCATGTCGGTCTTGAAGTGGCCACACTGTCGAGTTCGCTGTACATCATCGGATACGCCTCGGGTCCGCTGATCTGGGCCCCGCTCTCGGAGCTGAAGGGTCGCAAATTGCCGATTGTGGTCGCGATGTTAGGGTTCGGGATTTTCAACACGGCCGTCGCCGTCGCCAAGGATCTTCAAACCCTCATGATCTGTCGGTTCTTCTGCGGTATCTTCGGCAGTTCCCCATTGGCGGTCGTCGCGGCGATTTTCTCCGATATGTACGATAACCGCACGCGCGGTGTAGCCATCGCCATGTTCTCCGGCACGGTGTTCCTGGGACCCCTCCTGGCGCCGTTCATCTCGGGCTTCATCAACGCCTCCTACCTCGGCTGGCGCTGGACCGCCTACATCCCCGCCTTCATGGGCTACGCGGCCTTTGTGCTGAACGTCTTCTTCCTGCGCGAATCCTACCCGCCGGTCATTCTCGTCTCCAAAGCCTCGGAGCTGCGCCGGCGCACGAAGAACTGGGGCATCCACGCCAAGCAGGAGGAGATCGAGGTGGATCTGCGGGAACTGGTGATTAACAACTTCTCGCGGCCGCTGCGCTTGCTCATCAACGAACCCCTGATCCTGGCGGTGACCATCTACCTCAGCTTCATCTACGGGCTGCTGTACTGCTTCCTGACGGCGTACACGCTCGTCTTCCAGGGAGTGTACCACATGGAGGCCGGCGTCAGCGGCCTGCCGCTGTTCGGCATGGTGGTGGGTCTGTTCATCGCGGCCGTGTACATCATCTGGAGCTCGCCGGGGTACAGCCGCAAGCTGGACGCCAACGGCGGCGTGCCCGTCCCCGAGTGGCGGCTGCCTCCCGTCATCGTCGGTGGTGCGCTCTTCGCCGCGGGCCTGTTCTGGTTTGGCTGGGCGGGCTACACCGGCCGCGTCCACTGGATCGTGCCCACGCTGAGTGGCCTGTTCACCGGTTTCGGGCTGCTGATCATCTTCATTCAGCTGTTCAACTACCTCATCGACACGTACCTCATGTTCGCCGCCTCCGCCATCGCCGCCAACACCTTTTGCCGATCCATGGTCGCCGCCAGCTTCCCGCTATTCTCGCGGCAGATGTTCAACAACATGGGTATCCAGTGGGCCTCGACCCTGCTGGGCTGCGTGGCTGCGGTTCTGGTTCCTATCCCCGTGGGCTTCTACTTCTTTGGGCGTAGATTGCGGATGAAGAGCAAGTTCGCGCCGTTCTACGAGAAGGCGCAGGAGTCGCATGCCCCCGATGAGGATGATCATGTGCTGGAGGGGGAGAATGGTGCGGCGCATTAAGGGTTGCGCTGCAGCTGGAGAAGACTGAGATTCCTCCCATCTGTTGTGTGCATGATGACTGATGGCAGCAACACTATTATACCACCTTGTATATGTAATGATAATTTTTAGTGACGTGGAGCGTTCTTGTCATAGCATTTGCATTCGCATTTTGCATGTTTAGCATAAAGAGTGGGGAAGGAACGTTGGATACGCTTTTATCTATGTCTCTTCAGTGGGCGTTGGCGGGTTGGATGTAGCGGAGATGAAATCGTTTGCTTTTGTGGTGTCGAGTTAAAACACTCAGCATCCAGATCTTAAAACTTATATCATATATCCTGAAGAGTTGACAAATTATATAATCAAGGTGCTGTGGTCTAGTGGTATGACGTCACGTTGTGGCCGTGCCAGCCCCGGTTCGATTCCGGGCAGCGCCACTTTCTTTTTTGCGCTCTTTTTGCTGCGTCACAGGTGGTAGCTCCGCCTTTAGCAGGGAGTAGTTGTGGAGTCTCTGATGCCAAAACACAATCAGCATCATCTCACCCATGCAAAGAGAGGTCTCACACCTCAGGCACCAAGGGGGTCCCTTACTGCCGCAGTCCCACCCAGCACAGGCAACATCACGTGCCCCGACCGGTGCCTGGCCGGTCCACCCGAGCTCCACCCAATCACACGCGCCAATTGCTCAGGGTCTTCAGGCAACAGCCGGGCGCTGAGGCCTCAGGCTAGCGATCGGCCTAGCGGCGGGGACGAAACAGGCAAGTAGCTGCATTGCTTCATCGCTTCTTCCATCTCTCCATCCCCTCTTTATAACCATGTGCATTTCCTTCGATTCTTTCGTTCTTGCCATCTCTATCCTTTCTCTTGATTCTCACATCATCTTCAGTGTTGACAAACTTTGATCTCAAGCTCATCCTCCCCTTATCCAGACACATTGTGACCCACAAGACCTCGTATTCGCAACCGAGCCAAACAGCGTTGCTCGGCGAGCTCACTCACCACTCTTTGTCCTGCACATCAATCTCACTCTCATATCCTCTCGTCGCCATGACAAAACTACCTCTAGACGGATTGGTTATCGCCGTGGGCGGGACTTTCCCAGGCTACAAACAAGGTGCGCAACACTGATCATGCGCCGGTCTCGTTTCCAATCGCCCGGTCTACAGCGAACTGACCCTCACAGCCGACCTCACTTCCATCATCAAGAAACAGGGAGCAGAGTTTACTTCTGCCATCACCGAGACCTTGACGCATCTGATTACCACTCCCAAAGAAGTAGCCAACCAGAGTCGCAAATGTGAGTCCATCCCCCGGGAAGCTTGGAGCGTTACGCACTCTGGCAGGTGACTGCTGTCTAAACCATCACTGAACCTGCCCTCTAGACACGCAGGCCTGCAAGGTTCCGTACTGCAACATCGTCTCGCTGGACTGGCTCATCGACTCCGAAACGGCCGGCAAGAGACTGGCGGAGAAAGACTTTCTCCTAGACAACGCAAAGACTGATGGGGAAGAGACCAAGAAGAAGAAGCGCACACTCGAGCAGGCACTGGGTGTCAACGAGGATGGGACGACTAAGAAGCTCAAGAATGCGCAGAAAGCTGGGACGAAGGCCTTGAACATCCCTGTGGATGATGAGTGTTCGCTCCGACGTTCGTGATCCGTCCTTGCTTGTGGCGCTGGTGTCAAGAGCTGACAACTCCGCTTAGGCTCTCATAAAGTATACATCGACCCCGAGTCGACCATCTGGGATGCCACCCTGAACCAGACCAGCGCGACGAACAACAATAACAAATTCT